ATACTCATATGTAAGACAACTATTCTGCCAAGAGTTTTAGTCTTGTTGATTAATAAAACCTAAGAAACGTGTATTTTCTAGCATTTACCGTCAAAAAATCCTTCATTTTGCTTAATTCACATGCACATAACTCTGCTTAGGAAAATGCTAGAACCAAAATTTAAACTTTGGGTTAATGCCCAACTTCTATACTTAATGTGTGCCAAATTTCAAATGTCTGTGACAATATTAAGGGGATGAAAAATGATGGGGGCAACTTTTGTCTCATTTTTGAAAATGGCGCCTGAAAAAAAGAACAAACATGGTGTTACTAAAACTTGAATAACTTTTGATCTAAATGAGATAGATTAAAAATTTAAATTGATTATTCATACTCAAATGTGTGGCTATATGTGCACCAAATTTCAAGTCTCTAGCTCACTCAGAAAAATATCATGTGTGCACCCTAGTATATGGGGACTTTACGACATTCGGTTTGAAGGCTTTAACCACTTGTTATAGTTTATGTTTGCATTGTATTGGATTAATGTGGTAGTCCAAGGTTGTTGTAGGTGGTTTTCAAGTTTATGCACCCGGTTTTAATATCATTTAGCGATTTTACGACAATCGTTTACTATCCAATCAAGGTGACAGCCGAGCGTGTGTGAAATGTCTTACCTCATAAACGTCTGGCAGTCGATTTATGCGGAGATATTTCTTTAATTCGGGGTCTATCCCCTTTAGAGATGCAGCCATTGTGATTTTGAGGAGTTATTCTGTGTAAAAATGCACTGTTTTCTGTTAAAGAACAATATAAGTCAGGTATATGATCGCAATCGACCAAAACACCTGCAATATTCCACCATGTTGTTTGCGAATAGCAACAGCAATACCCGGATGTAATTCCAAGACGGGCTAGAGCCGCAGTAAACAGGAAGCTGACAATCCACGTCCTTACTTGTAGACTAAAACATGTGTCCCGCAAGAATTACACGAGTAAAACGCCAAAATAAATACGCCCTAGAAATGAATTCTAAAAATAACGGCCAGATAAGATATACTTTCTTTCAAAATTATTTTCTACAGGGACACCGAAATAAATCATTAAAGACCAAAACAATGTTTGAGAAAATTGGATGTCTTAAGGTCACGGGGCGCATTTTGGACGCACGTTGGGAATATCCTATGTCTAGCAAGTGCGAAGCGGGTGGCTGTTAAATCGGTCTGTCAAGTGCACTTTGGTGAGAAATGTTGCGATTGATAATACCACGGGTCGTTAACTAACTCACTCATGCGTTACATGCATGTGTGCTTCACATAGGCCTACCACACATAGGGGCCTATATCTCTTTTCTCGGCGTCCGTCGTTTACTGAAAAACCGAGGTGATGATGCTCAGATATCGCCAATTTCTTTATCGCTTTTTCGTCTTTCTTGTTTTGAAAAACCGAGGCGATGATGCTCAGATATCGCCAATTTCTTTATCGCTTTTTCGTCTTTCTTGTAAAAAAAAACCAGAGAAGTTAAATTTTGCAATGCAATTTTCATTTCTCAAACCGATGTAGGCCTTCGAATTTCTTACTATAATCTGAATATGACCTTCTGAATTAGGCCTACGCCACTTCGGCATCATATCAAAAAGCACAGGCTGCGGCCAAAGTAATAAAATATACATGTACTTACAATTACATGTAATGCAATCAGCAGTGCCTACTCGAGTAGTCAGAATCAGTAGCCTTGTGAAGGCATGCTTATTATTAATTGTTTTTATGTTGGATCGATCCTAGATTGATTTATTGCTACTTTAATTTGAAACAAAGAAAATTATTGAAAGTACATCGGCGTGATGTCATTTTGATTTAGCAAGTTTTTTATATCAGAGAAGCTACATGCACTATTTCCTTTTTTGTATCTTCGTTAAATACCCACTCCTAATCCACGTCTTAATGATAGATTTCGGACAACCCGCTCTATTATGATTAATTAATTTGTTTCCAAATATGAGCAGACGCGCTTTTAAAATTTTTACTTCTTCAAATTAAAAAAAGTGGGACAGAAGCATGCTTAAGTGAGCTATCGAAGTAGGCTTAAAGGAAAATTTCAATTAGGGATGAAAATTCGAAACAACAGATTTTCGGAATTAAAAACGTTCGAATGGATGCTTGGAGTAAAAATACTTCGTAATAGCCAGATGACCCCGTCAGCTTTTTTTTTAATTATTATTTTTGATTTTCTCGCTTCAATGACCCTGGTCACTCTGCCTCCCTCTCCCTCCCTTTGGCTGTACTTTGGCTGTACCTTGTTCTTCTTTTGTTTTTCACCAATAAGTCAATTGAGACAGACGGGCAGATATATAGATTTCTGCTACATAGTTTATTTAGGGCTAAAACTCAAGCGTGTAGGCCCTTCCAGTGTAAAGCCCTCTATATACATCTGTCTGTCCCTCAAGCATCAGTCTCCCTCTCCCTCTCTTACCTCTTTTATCCCTAAACTCAATTGGCATTTTACAAGTACTTTATCTAAAATGCAACCTGACACACACACTGTGTAAATGCCCCAAATATATAATTATTATAAGTACATTTAAAATAACTTGTATTTTAATATGTATGTTAAAACCAATATGCAAATCACATCCAAGCTTAAACTACTATCAATTGTTCCAACAACCTGATCCTATCTTTTAAAGGAAGTGTGACGACGGGGAACACACAAATGCAAACATTTTTAACTTTATTACCATATTTAAGAATATATATCTTCTGATCAACTAAACAAGGTAACTATCGGACAGAAATCTTATTAAAAAACACCCCTTTCCCTTGCTCTAAAAACAATCATTTTATAATTATTTGATATTTCTTTCCCATCTAAGTAGACCATATTTCCTCAAACTGCATTACTGATAAGAGAATACACTAACAGCCTTTAAGGTAATGTAAATTATATGCCTGTGGTGTACTTGTGGAGACAATTTAAGCTGCACCCGCTGCTTTAAGACCGCTAAACAGAGCATTTTAGTATAAAAAAAAACCTTCTCCTTAAATTTATCAGCTGGATGTTACTAGATCAGAGATCGCTTCAATATTCCAGTATTGGCGTTCTGCCACTAACAGTCCCAGCCTCTTACTTGTATTAAAAAAAAAAAAAGACTTAAACTGGCCTATCGCCCGGTAAGTGCACGGCTGGTATAGGGGCCTAATCAAGTACCCCGTTTGACAGGTGGCGCTCATAAGGTGACAAATGCAGTAAGTGTCCTAGTGTCTAGTATATAGGCTCTTCCCTGGTCCTGGGACTAATCTATATTGACCAATAGTGGACCTGTATATAGCCTGTCATCACGATATCTTGATATTCAGTGATCAACAAAGAGATGGATATAGAAGAGGAAGGTAAAGTTTAATATGGACATCGGGCTCTTTGCATTGTGGACTATTGTGCTTCTAATTGTAAAATTTTTGCAAATATATATGTGGTTTATCATCATTCATTTTTCTGAATCTTAACCAGTTAAAACTCAATTTGCGTTTGAGTGTGTGACTGTCAACAAAACTAATAGTGATTGTTTAATCTTAACTATAGAATGATTCGTTTTTCCCATACTTAACATATATTTAATTTTGGAATTCCCGGACGTCTTTATACTTTAGAACCACCAAAGTCTAAATGGGATCTACGGCGGAATTTAGCAGGGTTTTGGCTCCTTGGTCTTTGCGACTACTTTCCATACGTAGTTATGCTGAGTGCTGCAAAAGAAATACTCCGTGACAGTGACAACCCCGACAATCTACAACCGGTAATGTTACTTTTATCGTGATGTTTGTGGGAAGATGGGGGAAAGAGCACTTGTTAAGGATTCCTGATTTCTTACTTGAATGTAGACCCCCTCCTCTTCTCTACTTGTACCAGAAGACAGCTACATGTAGCTGACGACGAAGCTGGTGAGCAAAAATTCTTGCTGAACACAAAAAAGAAAAGTACAGAGCTGGTGAATAGAAAGAAATATGTGTGAATGTCTAGTATACAATGTAGAGAAGGAAATGATCTCTGTGACCCTGGGAGAAGGTAAAAAGTATAGATAAATTGGCAGTGAAATATCTGTGAATGCAAGTATCTAATGAAAAATCCTCCGTGACCGGTACCTTGACATAGGGTAGATTGATATATATTATAAAAAAAAATTGAGTTCGATTTACTGATTTATTTTTTGCACCTGTTCCAGGCAAATGTTACCGGTCTTAATGACACAGAAGAGATGCAGCTTAGGTGTAATTCTGTCGGCACTGGGGTAAGTCTGGGTAATATTCATATTGTATGTGTACTGGGGGATTCGGGAGGGGCGAGGGGGGGGAACAGCGTTTACGTACCCTTTTCTTTAGCTTTGGAGGTACTCCTCCGCTTTCTCCACTCCCCCCTCCCCTCGTAAACAAACAAAAAATATACTTAATTAAGTCGTTTTCCAACTCCTATGCCCTACAGGCCCGTAGCCAGCAAATTCAAAAGGGGGGTTCTTTTTCTGAATAAGTAGACGTTTTACAGTGAAACTTATGTGTACCTACATAAAATTTTACCCAAAATGGACCTTTTCCTGACAAAAGGGGCAGTTCTTTCGAACCCCCCGACCCCCCCCCCCCCTGGCCACGGGCCTGCCCTATGTATAAAAGTAAAAGTCTCAAATTCTCCTCGTGTACTTTAATTTTGTAATGCTTGCTGAACGAAGCAAAATCTTTGACCCACCGGCGGTGCGTGTACTGAACCAGATGAAATGACCTACATATATTTGTGTGGATAAATTGAGATAGGATGCACTAGCGTGACAAGCTACATGTTAAATGCAATACTTTGCACAGTGCATTATAAATATGCACACTGTGTATCTGTTATTTATAATGGAAAACAGGGAAAGCAAGGGCAAGTTTACGGTCAGTACATGGCCTCGCGCTCGAGAAAACTCATATGAAACCTTTGTAAAACAAGCTTTGCTTGCTCGTACTACATTTAATTACGAGCAAGCTTTGCTTGCTCGTAATTAAATGTAGTACTTACAATTTCTTGGGTTAAATTTTTATATTTTATCCTGTCTTATTTTGCATTGTATCAATCTACCTAGTACGATATTTTCATTGGGAACGCACCCTTAATCAGCACCCACATTAGTCCCACTTGGGACCAACTTGGGACCCACTTGGGTGTATTGGCAGGGCTTCAACTATGGCGTCTTCCCTTTTCTTCCAGGCCGTGTTATTGGCGGACATTATCCCTGTTTTATTTATCAAGACGACTGGAGCTTTTTTCTTAAAGAAGGTGCCATACTAGTAAGTCTGGATCTTCACCCGCATGTAGTGACTTCAACACTGTAAACAAAATATTAGATACATATCAGATATATATCAAAGTTGAAGATAGTTGAAATTTGTTAAGAATTATATTGTTCATATTTTTAATCGCCGTTAATCGGAAATATAATTTCACATTTTCTTGACACAGTGTATGTTTCTTCAGAATTGATGGACATCCGTGCGAAAATGATAGAAGTATTAGCGGTGTTTTGAAGTCTAATTTTCTAGCTAGTAAAAACCGTTCTGATTTGCAGCTGCAGGGTGTTGGCTGTCGTGGCGTTTGGAGCGGCGAGTTTTCTAACAGTTGCCTTGTCGTCAACCGTATGGGTCAGTTTGCTTGGTACGTATACCCAGCATTTACTAATCATGCCCCATGTTGCCGTTGTACAAAAGAAATTTAGCCCTAAGTTTGGGCATGACGCCAGATCACACACCTTGAGCTTACTTTGTCCAGGGATAGATCAGCAGTCGTGACATTAAATGTAATATTGCGTATGTTTTATAACAACAAAGGGGGGGCAGGGGGGGGGGGGGGCAGCTGCCCCCCCCCCCCCCCCCCGGCCATGTGGGGGGGAAAAAAAAAAAAAAAAA